AAGGGCCCTTCCCGAGCGTCTGCCTGAAACCCGCCATCAGAGTTGGGGTGAGGTGCGGGCCGTTCTCCGGAGCCGTGTGCCGGCCTGCGCCTCCAGTGCAGTGGCGTTAGCTGGTTCGGCTGTAGGCGGTGGTAACAGGAAAGTGCCTAGAAGTGCTGTAGCTGTTTCTGCGAGCAGCTGCTGGTGGCTTTTGGATTAGGAGGAAATTGTGATTGCTAGAGAAGGTAATGCTGTAATGCTAAACATCTCTCTGGTGACAAATGCTCCAGATTCTCGTTGCTTCCTCAGCTAGTTTAAACTATTGATACCCGAAACCTTTCATTCCTAGGTTTGCTTTTCTGCAGCGAGCTCCTGAAGAATCTCACAACGAGATTAAGGTGCCTTTTTCAGCCTCATCTTTCCAGATGCCAAGCTTTGAGTCTTCAGTTTCTTATTGTTGAAGTACGTTGATTTTCTTTCTAGAGATAAGAGATGTTGTTGACGTTACTTAATGTGTTTAATGGTTTTACACAGTATAGTGATAAAACTAGGAGAATCTGGAAGCCAAAATAGAGAGTATTCAGAGATCTAATCTTTAACTAAATTGGCATGCTACAGGCTGCCTAAAGGGAGCAGTGATTTTGCCTTTGTGTCTATGTGTCTATGTATATATGTGTGTGTATGCATACGTTTATACATATGCATATTTATATGTCCACACGTATACGACCATACGTGTGTATATGCAAAAATGTGCGTGTGTATATGTATCTATTAAACCACACCTGTTTGTGGTTGTCTCTTAGCTCTGAAATTATTGTTCAGAATGAAGCATTTAAGTAATAGTCTGCTGATTTAAATAAACTAACTCAGTATAAATAGCATTGCTGCTTTTGTTCAGCATAAACAACTTCTAAGAGTTGTAGGTAATTCCTTTTGGCTCTGTGCTTCCTTATTCTCAGGAGGCTTGACTGTGATCTGCAGCATGGGGAGGAACTGGTTGGAATGTACCTTTTAGGGGCTTTCCCAGGCATCAGCAGTGTAAATCGCTTGTCTGATGTCGAGATCTAAACTGGTCCTAGCAGTCTTAAGTACTGAGAAAACGTGCATGGAGTTCGTATTTTCTTATGTTGTTTTATGTAGCAGCAAATGCAATTTCTGGAGAGGTTCAGATTCTGATCACCCTCTTAATATTCACATTTTGACTTGGACTTAAACATGTTACTCAGTATGCGGTGTTTGATTTACATGAAAATTGGGTCAAATCTCGCATTGGCAACACAAGCCAGTTGTTGGTATGACTCTGATGTTTTGCCATCACTAATGTTGCTGCCTAACTGTGAAAGGTAGCAGAGGTTTGAATTTGAATAAGGTATTCAGGCCGGGAAAGGAAAACATACCTTGGACTCTGGTCATCAAATCGTAGTGCTCATCTATGTTAGACTTGTGGATATGAATTTATTGTTTAATCTGGTTTTATTCTAAAGAATATATACAATTGTCTACTGAATTGTACTATAATAGGTGCTCTAAATGCTATATTTTTAAAAGTACTGTATCAACTGTTAAATCTGCAAACTGGAAGTTATAATTCATTGGAATGTAATTCAGCAAGCTCTGGATTAGAATGCTTTCCAGGAATCTTTTTGATACTGCTTCCTGATTAATTTCTGGAGGGTCAGCGATGACACACAAACATACTTTTTGTGATTGTAAGTGGGAAGAGAAAGAATGCTGAATATATGTGGTTATAATTGCTGAAAGTGTTTATATAAAGTGTAAGGGGTTTTTTGTATGTTCTTGGTACAGCTGAAGCATTGCTCCAGTATGGTCTATAATGTACTAAGTGTTTTCTGTTAGAGCAAAGGATAGTTGAGGGCATGTCTCTTAATAATGACTTAAAGTGAATAAAGAGTGAACAGTATCTGACTGTTTGCGTCTGTAGGACTCGCCTAATGTTTACATTTTGCTATAAACCAGGTGACCCTTGATTCTGTGCTCAGTTATTCTGTTTTTGTTATCTCTACTTGTTTCTTTTTAGGTAACTCTGTAAGTTTGTTAGTAAGGCTTGCCTTTTTTCTGTATTACAGTCAAAACAATGGGGCCTCATCCTGGTTCCATCTTCCTTGCACTGTAGTACACAACTGTTAAAGAATACAGAAGATAAAAATCACAGAGCTTCTTGGCAGCGCAAGGAAAGCGCTGTGCTCACACCTAACTGAAAATTTCTTCGGCTGTCAGTTGATGTTTTCTGCCATAATGCTTTTAGTCTTTGTAAGTCTTCTGCAGTACTCTGATCAGCTCTATTCCTGCCTGCCTGCTGCTCAATAGTTTAGATTCCCATCTCTGTATGTGTCTCTCTCCTGCTGCTCTCTGTATCTCTCTGGATCCTTGCTTCTCCCTGTGCATAAAAATTAATATTGCTTATTTCCTCTTTCAATTATTACCACCAAAAAAAAAAAAAAGAAGGGGTGGAGAGTTAGGAAGGACCAGAATAACAGTCTTTTCCAGTTCCAGTAAAGCAGCTGTGGTTCCGTTCCTGTTCCCTAGACCAGCCCTCTGACTTCCAGCGAGGCTCTCCTACTCCTGACCCTTGCACCGAGTACTCCAAACCCTGCCTTTTTTGCATTAGTTGCTGTCCAAGCAGAGGCACAGCATTGCTGGAAGAGGATGTAAATGTTCTTTTTAATATTTGCAAATTGCAGGGGTGAGGAAATAAATTGCCTTTTCCTTTCTCTGACGGGAGTCCTACACTTAGTCACCTAATCAGATTGCTCCAGGAGGAAAAAATACAACCTGGCCTGTGGTGATACAGATAATAACTTGATTTCACAAGAGTAGGGAAGATAATAGAAAGGAAGATGCACTGGCTCTTTCCCAGCAAATCAGTAGCTGTCACATTCCCAAGCCCATACCTCAGGTTAGCTTTTATTCTTTGTTCTTGCTTCTCATAGCCATTAGTTCAAAATAGCTGGTAGTCTTTGGATGCAAAGTGGAATTTTCTGTGATTTGTATTTCAGTCCTAGCATACGTTTGTGGCCTACTCCCAGCTGGAGATTTAGCAATCTATTTCATCCTGGGCGGAGGTTTATAGATACGATGAGATGTGTTTCTGCTGATTCCACACTTTCACAAAAAAGTTTGTTGATACGGATAGCTTGGAAATGGATACATGACACTTTCACTTAGCGAGAGGATGATTTGAAAGCAAATACAAAGACACCTTTTAACTTTCATCCTAAATTGGTAGGAAAACTTAACAAGCTTTTTTCATTTAGATCATATTTAGTAAAAATTTATTGCTATAACAATCTAGTAATAGGTTACCCTACTAATAATTGGTTTACTAAGGTAGTTTGCCTTCTGTGATGGAGTAACTGCATCAGTGCATGACTACTGATGTCATCTACCTGGACTTCTGTAAGGCCTTTAACGTGGTGCCACACAACGTTCTTGTCCATACCCTAGAGATGGGTTTGACAGATGGACTATTAGACGGATAAGGAGTTGGCTAGTTGGCCATGTCCAAAGAGTTGCAGTCAATGGCTCAATGTCCAAATGGAAACCAGTAACGAGTGGTGTCCCTCAAGGGTCTGTACTTCGACCAATACTATTTAATATCTTCATCAGTGACACAGGCAGTGCCACTGAGTACAACCCTCAGCAAGTTTGCAGATGACACCAAGTTGAGTGGTGCAGTTGATTTGTTGGAGGGACGGGATGCCATCCAGAGAGATGCTGACAGGCTTGAGGAGTGGGCCAACTCATGAAGTTCAAAAAGGCCAAGTGCAAGGTCCTGCACCTGGGTGAGGGCAATCCCTAGTATCAGTACAGAATGGGGAATGAATGGATTGACATCAACCCTGCGAAGAAGGACTTGGGAATATTTGTAGATAACAAACTAGGTATGAGTCAGCAATGTGTGCTTGCAGCCCAGAAATCCAGTTGTATTCCAGGTTGCATCAAAAGAAGTGTGGCCAGCAAGTTGAGGAGGTGATTCTCCCCCTCTGCTTGGCTCTCATGGAGTACTGCATCCAGCTCTGAGGTCCCTAGTAGAAGAAAGACATGGACCTGTTAAGAGTGGGTCCAGAGGAGGGCCACAACAGTGATCAGAGGACGGGAACACCTCTCTTGTGAAGAAAGGCTGAGAGCATTGTGTTTGTTCATCCTGGAGAAGACAAGATGCTGGAGAGACCTTATAGCAGCCTTTCAATATATAAAGGGGGATCATAAGAAAGATGGAGATGCTTTTTACCAGGGCCTGCAGTGACAGGGCAAGGGGAAATGGTTTTAAACTGAAAGAGGGTCGGTTTAGATTGGGTGTGAGGAAGAAATTCTTTATTACGAGGATGGTGAGACACCGGAACAGAGAAGCTGTGGATGCCCCATCCCTGAAGTGCTGGACGAGGCTTTGAGCAGCCTGGTCTAGTGGAGGGTGTGCAGGGGGTTGGAACTAGATGATCTCTAAAGGTCCCTTCCAACCCAAACTATTCTATGATTCTATATTCCTGGGGCAACCATAATTAATGCTTTGACTGTATTCTACAGTGCCCATTTACTCCATTGTGTCTAGTGTAGATGCAAGTAATAACAAATTTGAACAATGACGTTCTTAGTGCAAAATAACTAGAATAGCTTGTTCTGCCACTGCTCTAAGACCAAGTAGATACTAGGTAAACTTGCACGTAAAACACTGCAAAATTGCAAGTTAACTTTAAAAGTTTAGATATGTTCATTCTAACCAAGTCATAAACCCCTCATCTCATTGCTGTGATTAATCTCTGATTTAAGTTGAAGATAAAGCAACGCTTAGATGAAAAATCTGCCTCTGCAAATAAATTTATTATTGCTTTTCTGGAGAATGTGTCTTGTTAAGGTAGTATGTTTCATTTATGAAATAGGAGAGAGAAGTCTAACTGTTAAACTTTTTTTCAGACATAATGGCGACATTAATTCACACTTTATCAGATCATAGTGATGATGTCAACTACTGTGCCTTCTCATCATCGTGCCTGGCTACTTGTTCCTTGGACAAAACAATTCGAGTTTATTCTTTAAACAACTTTGCTGAACTTCCGTACTCACCTTTAAAAGGTCATACGTATGCTGTCCACTGCTGCTGCTTCTCTCCATCAGGACACCTTTTAGCTTCATGTTCTACAGATGGCACTACCATGGTTTGGGACACTCGTGATGGCCGGGTGCTGGCAGTGCTAGAGCAGCCCAGTGGCAGTCCTGTTAGAGTCTGCCGATTTTCTCCTGAGTCCACATATCTAGTGTCAGGGGCAGCGGATGGGAGTGTAGTTCTTTGGAACACGCAGTCATTGAAACTGTACAGGTGAGTGCCAAATATTTTTTGACAGCCTTGTTTACAATGAGAAGAATATAATTTAAGTAGTATGCTGTACTGTGTACGAGACTTGCAGACTTACACCACTGATTGATATCCTGAAGGAACAGGAATAGGATTTAGAAGACCAAAAGATTATCAATAGGAGAAGGAGAAGATCTGAGTCTTTTTTTTTTTTTTTTTTTAAGTTAAAACAATGCAAACTCAAGAAGCTTGAATTTTTAATAAGTTATCTTTCCTCTAAATTCTGTTTGGTTTTGGTTTTTTTTTTTAAGCTCGTGAAAGTGTTTTCATTGATTTAACCTGATGAAATCAGGATGTATTGCATACTGCATGCACCTGGTTTCTAAACAACGGGTTAACAAACTGTGATATGTAATACACAGTTAGTTAGTGGAGCCTGACTGTGCTATGTGCCTTATATTGCATCACACATAATAGTTTTTAATGAAGTATTTAATTACAAGGATATTTGGAGTCCAGGAAGGTCTTAGAAGCTTGATAGTAATCCAGCAATCAAATAGTTTGGAAACTATTGGCATATCCTAAAACTATACGGTTTAAGACATAATGGTGACAGAAAGGAGTATTGGACCTGAGTGAGTTAAGTATGACAGCCAACATTTCACATGGGTTTCCAATAAACATTTGAAACAAAGCAGATGAGCATTTTTAGTGATGTTGCACAGTTAAAGGCATGAACCTTAGGCTGATCCTCAAAGTCCATCTCTACATCTATATTTCAGTAAAGTCTTCAGGCCAGTTGTTTTAATCTGTTCTTAGGCAAGACATTATTATGTTTTAAAGCAGCAATTACACAACGTCTTTCTAAACTTAGGAAAGTAGTTAAGAATTTGAGAGAATTGATGAGATGTTTCAGTCAGAATGAGGTAGCAGCTGCTTCTGAAAGCCAAACTTGTTTGGTTTTGGTAATCCCTGTCAAGCATGTTGCTACTTTTGTGGCCTGTCTAGCTTTGCCTTCCACAGCAGTGATTTAGACGGGAACTGTAAAATTTTTCAGAGTGATTGTTTATAGTCATCTGAAATCATGTAAGTCTGGAAACCTGTCCATAAATAGATTTCTAATAGATTTTTGCCACCTTGTTGTTTGTAATGCATACATAAACACTGAAATGGTTGCTTTGTTTTCAGAGAATAAAGAGGTATCGATTGTGTATTGTTCCTTAGTTTTATCTTTGAGAAAAATTGGGAATTGCTATCGTTGGGGAATTGCTATCGTTAGTATTCTGAAGTCCAAGGGTTTATCTATTTTTAGGTATTACTAGTGAAGTTGTTTTTTCTTTTTTTTTTTTTTTTTAATCCTTGTTACTGACAGGGAAAACCCCAGAAATATTAAAAAGTAATTTATTGCAAGTATGTGCTAATAATATATGCAGTGATGCATGTTTTAGACTGTCATGGTTTAACCCATCTGGCAGCTAAAACAACCACACAGCTCTTGGCTTACTCCCCCACTCCCAGTGGGATGGGAGAGAGAATTGAAAATGGAAAGAAAAAAAGTAAAACTCGTGGGTTGAGATAAAGACAGTTTAACAGGACAGCAAAGGAAGACAGTAATAATAGAACATACAAACCAAGTGATGCACAGCACAATTGCTCACCACCCAGAACCGATGCCCAGCTAGTTCCTGAGCTCCGTTGCTTCCTGGCCCACCCCCAGTTCTATATGGAGCATGGTATGCAATATCCCTTTGGCCAGTGTGGGTCAGCTGTCCTGCCTTTGTGGCACCCCCAGCCTCCTCCCTGGCAGGCCGGTAGGAGAAGCTGAAAAGTCCTTGACTGCTTGGCAACAACTAAAAACATCAGTGTGTTATCAACATTATTCTCATCCTAAATCCAAACCACAGCACTAACCAGCTGCTAGGAAGAACATTAACTCTATCCCTGCTGAAACCAGGACATAGACCTACATCCTTAATTTCCTCCTAGTTGAATAGTGGATGTGTAATGACTATGTAGAAAGTATATTGTTGTTTTAAGCATAAATTATTCAATTATGGTGTTTCTGTTGTAAAGAAACAAAAAAGAACTTGAACATTCCAGTCCTGTCCCCTTCACTTCACACTTAAAAGTTCGTTTCGAAGTGTTAACGTGCCAGCAGTAGTCAGCTTAATTTTCATTGTATATATTTTGGGATCTGATGAATTTTTTTTATTATCATTGTCATTTGTAATTGCAGATGGAAAAGTGCACCTGTCCCATTTTCTTAAAGCTGAGATCAATATTACTTAGAAATTATCAAGGTACTTAAAAATTACATCAGGGGATTTTAGTTAACCATCTAATGTCAGTCTGTGGTCCTGTTTCTTTTGCAACAGTTGATTGTGTTCATGCTAAAAAAGAGAACACTATTATGTCACTTGACTAAATATACAGATGGTAATTACAACAAAGGTATCCAGTTACACCTTATCAGCTCAACTGTTGTAACTGACTGTTCAAATTGTTAAGATGGCTATTTAACTCATCTCTATGATGGATGTGAGCAACATGAAGCAAGCTAATTTATGTGTATCTCTTAGTGTTCTGTATTTCCTCTTCAGTAGGTATGATACTCCTTTCTGGCCTGAGAATTTTAAATGTGTACTCTGAACATGTATAGTACTACTTATTTTACTGTTTCATTTTCAGAGCAGAATCTGCAGCTTTTTGTGTGAAAGAAGGAAAGTTTTAAAAGCTGCACTAAGGAAAAAGAATTGTACATAAAAAAATGGGAAGTGCTGTAGTGTATTTGATAGTATTCTTAATGATAGAAGTAAGGGAGTCAGTGCTTTTTTGAAGGTCTTGGATCTGATTAGAGAGTCTCAGGAAAATTTATTGACTAGTTGTCTGTGGCATTAAGTTTGGCACCTCTGGCAGTAAATAAAATTTCTATCAGCAAAAGAGAATGAGCAGCTGTTCTACAAAATACAATGACAGAGTAAGATGGGGCTTTGGGCAACCTGGGCTGGTGGAGGGTGTCCCTGCCCGTGGCAGGGGGTGGCACTGGGTGGGCTGTGAGGAACTGTTTGACCCAAACCATTCTGTGATTCTATGATGACTGACATGTCTTGCTGTATGACCGTTGCTTATGGCTCTGATCTTTTTCTTGCACTTAAAGATTTGACTATGCGTGCTGGGCCAGTTCTAGTGTCCATTAAAAGGAGTGAGTCACTTTCAATTGACTTTAGGTTGCTATCAGATGACGTAAAGGATGTTAGGTTGACTCTACTTACTTCTGAGGATTGACCACAATTCCAAATCTGCTAGGATTTTTCTTTTAAGATCAATTTTACAAAGTGCTTTGGCTGACCTAGTTAAAATCTAGAAATCCTTTTTTTCACATTGCTTTCTCTTGTGTACAAGTAGTCCAAAATTAACCCTATATCATAAATCACAAAGTGTTCTACTCAGCTACAGCTTATGATACAGGTTAGTAGGTGTTCTGTTTTGTCTTTGAAAACAAAACAGAGAAATTTTGGGAGTCTTTTTATCCCCTGTTTCGTGTACATGTAAATCTATGTTATGATAGTTGTGTATTTGTCTTTGACTTAAAATTTATCCTGCCATACAATTTTAACAGTGCATTGTGCCTTTCAAATGGTAAGTCCATGCAGATTGTCTTTAGTTTGAGAATTATTTTATCACTCAGCTAAAATTATTGCCTTGGGGTGCCATCTCACATTTTTCCTTCTGCGGTCAAAGAGCAGGTCCTGGTTCCTGCAGCTGTGCTTATTTTGCATCTTGTTCCACAGCTGATGTGAGTTTCTCTCCTTTCTGATACCGAGTTTCAAAATGCAAAACTTAGAACAGTTTGTCTTATTGTATCAGATTGCATTTTAGAGATCACTTCTTCAGAACATTACTTATTCTAAATGGAAATCCTGTGTACTCTTGCTTTTCAGATCTGGGAATGTTAAAGATGGTTCTCTGGTGGCCTGTGCATTTTCTCCTAATGGAAATTTCTTTGTCACTGGATCATCGTGTGGTGATTTAACCATTTGGGATGATAAAATGAGATGCCTGTATAATGAAAAAGCACATGATCTTGGCGTTACCTGCTGTGATATTTCTTCACAGCCAGTTTCTGGTTAGTTACTTGACTCATCAGGGGAGGAACATGGAAAAAAAGTTATTTTATTTTTCTCTAGCTCTTGTTTTCATATTCTTTTTGTCACCAGTGCACAAGATAGAAATGACATTGGGAAGAGCTGATGTTTTAGAATATTCTGAATATTCTTCAGTAAAAGTTGTGGTTAGGTTGATGACAGGGAATGTAGTATGTCAACAAACAAGGTGATTAGCATGCTTTTGATAGCTTTCAGTAGCTAATTATCCTGTCAGGGTTTCAGAAAATGTTTGGGCAGTGTCTGCAAGTGAAGCCTGTCTCCTGGGGCTGACAAGGCTGTTAGAAGATGCAGGGCTTGATTACCATTCCCACTTGACCTTTTCATACTTTGGATCCCCAAGAAGCAGGACTGGATTAAAACAGTGCAGAGAACTGTAAACCTAATAAGCTGAATGCTTTAGCTGTGGGATGTGAATAGATAGACTGTTTTCCTGCACCTGACTTTCTAGTAGGAGGAATTTGTAGCCCAGAATCTCATGTGTCCCACTGAGATGTGGTACTGTTCAAATGTCTTACAGCTGTTTTAGCTGACCTGACTGTATAAGTTGCGCTTCAATTTTGTCATTATGTGATTCTTCACAGTTGTGATGGGCAAGAACTTATTTTTTTCTTTTGAAAGTGAAATCTGATATTCTTATATATATTTGAGTATTGAGATCAAAACCAAGGCATGCATAGTGTAGGCCTTTCTCAGGACTGCGTTGCATGTTATGTTCAGTTTTCATTCATTTCACATTTGTAAGGCTTTCCGTGGAACTAAAATAATTAGAACCTAGATTTCTCCATATGCAAAAACATGTATACTGAAAATTGCATATTTAAACTTCCAGCTGTCTCAGGGAAAGGTTTTCATTTGTGTGTACTGGCTCTTGAAAGTATTGTGGTTTAACCCCAGTGGGCAGCTCAGCCCCACGCAGCCGCTCACTCACTCCCCCCCAGCGGGATGGGGAGAGAATTGAAGGGCAAAAGTGCGAAAACTCGTGGATTTGAGATAAAGGCGGTTTAATAGCGAAAGCAAAAGCTGCACGTGCAGGCAAAGCAAGACAAGGAATTCATTCCCCGCTCCCCACGGGCAGGCAGGTGTTCAGCCGTCCCCAGGAAAGCCGGGGTCCGTCACGTGTAACGGTGGCTTGGAAAGGCAAACGCCATCGCTCCGAATGTCCTGTCCTGCCTTCTTCCCCCAGCTTCTATTGCTGAGCACGATGCCGTGTGGTATGGGATAACCTTTTGGTCAGTGGGGTCAGCTGTCCCAGCTGTGTCCCCTCCCAACTCCTTGTGCACCCCCAGCCTGCTCGCTGGCGGGGCAGGGTGAGCAGCAGCAAAGGCCTTGAGGCTGTGCAAGCGCTGCTCAGCAGTAACTAACACATCCCCGTGTCAGCAACGCTCTTTTGGTCACAGACGCAAAATACAGCACCGCAGGAGTTACTATCCCAGCCAAAACCAGTATAATTATGTTGCAGCACAGACTTTTTGTATAATTGTGAGGGGATACTGAAGATTTGCATGTCTAAGCTTACATAGCTTGTATAGTGGGAAGAAACATTTGCACGAACAAGAACAACTTCTATTTGAAATATCCTGGTAGAAGTTAATTGTGCTACAGGAAAGTGTCATAACCAAGCAACCAAATATTGATAATTCTGGGATATTGTAAGAGTCTGAAAAGCTGAAAGGTTAATTTGTATAAATTTTTGTCAGGTAAAAGTGTTTAATAAAGAGTTAGGAAATCACGTAGTTGTCTGCTTTTGATGAAGGTTGGGAAATTGGGCAGAAGCCTCATTGTCAAATCTAGGAAGTGAGGCTGTAACTTAACAGCTTTGTAGGTATACTTTTGTGCTTTCCAGATCTACTATGGAGACAGTAGTCTCCGTAAAGATACGTAGGCTTCTGTTTTCAGAGTACGTGAGCTGCTCTTTCAAAGGTAACAAAAACTAACTGAGCAGCCACTTGCATCTTCCAGTGCTAAACACAGCAGTAAGTACGGCTGTCTGTGTACCGCCTTGTCTAAGAAGGTGGTACAGAGCAGGAGGAAGGCAGGTCAGAAGCAGGAGAAAACTGAGGAAGTAGAATGTGAGCATATACTTCAGTACAGAGAATTAGTGACTGACAATACCAAATCAATCACATGTGTCCACTGACAGCTGTAGGGACACCATTGCATTAATCATCACAATAGAAAGGGGATTAATCTTTAAATAACACCTGTAGATCTTTCTTGGTGAAAGTACTACCAAAAAAAACTCCATCGTGAACCAAGACTTGCATCTGAGGGCAAAGGAACATGTTGAAGCTGAAACAGATCAGAGTGTAATTCCCACTGCTCCATTTCCTGTTGAGATTATCCTCTTGGTTTAAAAAAGTGTGTTACCAACCCTTCAGCCTTCTGCCAGGATAGAGAGAGATAGGCAAGAAAGCATTTCCTACACTGTGGATTTTTTTTGAGCTGATTTATGATCATTCTTAATTTTATTTAAGCCATATGTTATTGAAAATCAACATTTTTCCTTTTTGTGTGTTGCTGTTTAATCACCAAGGATTGAAACTTCTGATTGACAAATTTAACATAATACAAAATCCGTATAAGTAGTGCTTATCCAGTAGAATTAAAGATGGTTTTAGATTGAGACTCTCTTTACCTGCTTAATTCAGAGCAAAATTAGAACCAGAGCTTCTGACTGGTTCTTTGTGCTTTAGACTGTTTGTAACAGATGATTCTCCTACCTTTAAAGCAGATTCAGTCACAGTTGTATAGACGCTCATCAGAGTAGTTGTGATGCTGTGCAGGCTTTCCCATCTGACTGCAAAGTTTCTGTGCTGCCTTCCTCCTGGATTAGTAAACTTCAGTGAGATTACCTAGCAATACTGGTAAAAAATTGGCAGATCTTGCTAAAATTTTCTAATGAACCTCAGTGGAAGACAGTGTAGTCCTCTTCCAAGTTATCCTAAAGAGCTCTGTGTGTCCAGCACTGTAGTACTCCATTAAAAAGTCGGTAACTTGTAAAATAGTGTCCAAGTCTGTGCATCCTGACAGAATTCTCATCCAGACCAAGTTTCCAAGTAACATGTTGCTAGTTCCCAAGAAGTACGTGTTTTTAAAACATGATGACTAATGCGTGCCACTCATCTCCCTCTGTGACCCAAATCTTAACACTGTAAAATCCTTGCAAAAATGATGCGCTTTGATGCTTTATTGTTTGATAGATCTGAGATTAAGTCCTAAGATCTGCCACAGTCATAGTAGCTCTGATTGTTCCTGTGAACAAACAGGTCTATGTATACTAGGATTTTATTGTGATAACCATATGGGATTAAAATATACTTTATGTGGTGGGAATATGGAGATAAAAATCTCTGGGGTTATTTTGTAAGACACTCGACAGTAAATATTTTGACATTTCTGGTAACTAGGGAGCTGGAAAGATGAACCCTTAAAATGTTAGGATTTTCTGATGTCCAGTCTTAATCCTGGTGATTCTTGTAGGAATTCTAAGACTTGGTACTGGCAGAGGTGATGCCATTGAAGGATTGTTATGGTGACTTGTGTTAGGCTGGTATGCCAGCTCAGTGGAGTAGAAGAGCAGAAATATTTTGGCACAGGACTTAAAAATAATAAAAAAAATTTGATCGTGGGCTGAAACAACACAATTAGAATGCAACGTAATAGTTCAGAAATGTTCATATCCACTGAATAGAGAGGGGAAAGCTATAAAACTATTACTGTTGTATTTCATATTTCATCTTTAATGCAGTATTTCTTGAGTGGTTGGCTGGACTGGTGTCATGAAACATGACTTAGTTTATAAAAATGAAAAGTTGAACATTTAAAATTATGAAAATAGCCTGTCAGATGCTCTCAAATTTTGTACATGCATATGTGGTTAAGTTTGAGAACTACTGAACTGTAGAAGAAATGGATACAACCCTATAATTTAGATTAAAGGTCTCAGTAGATAGAGGAATCAAACATTTACCATCAAGACAACTTAAAATATGACCCCAGTTCTGGTCTTTATCTGCTTCTTCAGGAAACAGTACAACAGTGATACCTATTTCTTACTTCTAAATGATTTTAGAGCTTCTGCAATTAGTTTTGTTAACACTTTTTAAAAGTAGTACTGAGATTAAGGAAATGTACCAAATTCCAGTGTAAGAATGCTGATGTAGTATACTGATAAGCTGTTATTTTCAGTGCTTCTGATTCCCATGAATGTATTTGAATTTTATCAGATGGTGAACATGGATTCAGATACTTCCAGATGGCTTCTTGTGGTCAAGATAATCAGATCAAACTCTGGCTTATTTTGTTTGCAGATTTCTTAGGTGTGTATAGTGATTTTTTTTTTCATATTCCAATGTCTTAAGTCTTTAGTGACAGTTTACATCTAAGATCGAATTTCTACTGCCGTGGATTCACAGCCAAACTAACCACAAGTTGGAAGTTTTCTTTTAATTGTTTAGCAGGAGAGCAGCTAGGGCATGCAGTGCTTTGTGACCTTGGGCCCAGTAGATTTTACTTAGTGATCTATTTATCAATAATGGTAAAAGTAAAGTTTAAAAAAAAAAAATAATCCCCGATTCCCTCAAACTTAATGTTATGATAAACATTTGGTTTTAATTAGCATTTTTATCTTTTGGTAACCAGTAACATTTCTACTGTGGCCTTTGAGCAGGTTGATAGGTTGAAACCTCTTAATCTACCAAGCCAGGGATAGGTTTCCTTTCATCTTTCAGTACATCTTGGCCCTTGAGCAAGAGCTGGAGAAATGAAAACAGTGTTGGCTCCTGCTAAAGCTGCAGTGTATATGTGTGACTGCTATGCAGAGACTAGGCAGATGGCCAAAAACATCCTCAGTGGGTATTTTTTTGTGATCTCTTTTATACCGAGTTCTGTAAGGATGAATAGTGTGTGTACAGATGCACATTTCATTATCTAAAACACTGTTAGACATGCGAAGACTACAAAGTGTGGAAGTCAGAGATGTTAAAATTATCTCCGTGATCTTTGATCCCCATTTTTTTAGGCAGTATGTCAGAGTCAGATCTTTGGTGCAGCTTTACGCTTCTAAAAGCAGCTTGTCTTATACCTTGTCAAATGTGTCCATATGTAATAATTTACTTTTTGTATTTTTAGGTGTTGAATTAAAATATAAATACACATTGAGTGGACATTCTGCCCCAGTTCTGGCTTGTGCATTTTCTTATGATGGGCAGATGTTAGTCTCAGGGTAAGCAATGTCTTTTACTTGTTTAAATTTCATTCAAATGGCTGTCCAGGTTCATGCCTCAGTATTGTAAAACACAAAGTTCAAAAGAGTTGGAGATTTCAAACTTTATTTCCAATAATTAAGAAATAGTTCTGTGACCTGCAGAAATATTGAAGTGTCTTTCCAGTTGGTCTATGTCTTGCGGGTGATTGAGTTTGAAATCTAGGATGTTGCAAGCTCTGTTCTCTTGAGTATGGTAATGAGATTCATGATTTCCTGGTTTTGGGGCATTTATGTGGCCTTTCATGTGGATACTCTAGCATTTATTAAAAATACAAATCTACATTGCAATCTTACCATCTCTTTGCAGCATCATTTAGGATTTCCTTCTCTCTCATGCACTTTCAGGAACTTTTTTAGAAAATTAAATATCTTGAGATTTTTGTCTTTGATAGATTTGGTTGAAATTAAAAATTTCTTCACTGATCCGCACGCAGAGTATGGCAACATAAGCCTTTTTTCCAAAAAAAGTGCATGATTGAGATAACTGTAGACCTGTGTTTTTGATGTCAGCCCTGTACAGAATAATGGTTAAGACGCAAATTAATCAATTAATCTTTGTTAGAGGGTGATAAGGGAGTAGCCAGTGTCATTGCAAGGTCATTCCATTATGTTTGAAAGACCCAGGAGGGCGGAGGTGATGGGAAGATTCCTGATGACTGGAAAGATGTGAATGTCACACTTGACTTCAAGAAGGGCAAGGTAGAGGATCCAGGGCGCTACAGGCCAGTCAGCCTAATGCCAGTCTCTGGGAAGGTTATGGAGCAAATCCTTCCAGTGGCCTTGGAAGCTGCTGTGATCCGCAACACAAAGATAAACTGGCAGCTGGTTACTAGCGGCTTTCCTCAGGGATCAAGCTATTGAAAGAGGAGATTATAGATAAAGTAGATATAATTGTTAATGTTTTTATGAATATTAATGACCACTTTTATTCTGCACATCAAGTGGCAACTTGAAATAACAAATAGAATGATTCAACTCTAAATTTTAATTGTCTTTTTTACAAAGACTTTCTAAACTGAAATGGAAAACCTGATGTCTTGCAAAGGAAAAAGAAAAGACAACAATAGCCAGCAAATAAACTTAAAACCCCAGGAGACAATAGCTTGCTTTGTATTCTTTTTATGGGAGTCTTTTTTGGTATTTGAAGATCATTATGAATGATTGTGATCTATAATTATTTTATTTTCCATTAGACATACGGATTACTGTTTTTGCTTGTAGTGTCATAAGTGAAATGTCTATCCCATAAAGTCTTTCAGGAAGCACTCCTGTCATGGTAAATAAATACACAATTTGTATTTCATGAACTGTTTTATATATTGATTTCATTGCACCCCTATATTTTATGTATTGCAGTGCGTTACTTCCTCTAGCTTGCTTTGCAAATGAAACAATTTCAAAAATAAATAGAAGTGCTAAGAGTAGGTCATGGATAGCCATATTCTGTGCGTCAGCTTTACAGATACTGCTTGCAAAGACATAAAACAGATACAGGCAGTGGGGAGCAATGGGAATGGGGGCTGGTTTGTATAAGGACTGTGCAAATCCTCTACATCAGAACTTCTCATGGAAGTGCGGAGTTTGCGTATTTAACTACTGTTTTTTACATCATGCTGGATGTACAGCTAATCATAGTTGGTTTAAGGTGGGAGTGGGTGGAGGGGGTTTACATATCTAAGCTTCTCATAAAGTAGTGCTAAATAAAGCTCTTATTTTGTTTGTGGAAAAGGTGTTTTTTTCTTCCTCTTCTTAATTAAAAATAGTTTCCTTTTTCCTCTCTGCATAATTTTAATGTTGATGTGGGTTTTTGGTGTTGTTTTTTTTTTTAAAAGGTCTGTGGACAAGTGTGTCATAATACATGAAACTGTAAGTATAGCATAGTGCAAGATCATTCATTGGATTGTTGTCTTTAAGTATCAGCACTGCTTCTACAGTGTCTTACCAATGTAAAGAAATATTAAAGAATAGAGACTGTATAAACCCAAAAATATTTAGTGTGCATTTGGGGGATGGGGGAGGAGTTTGAGGAAAAATGTCTCTTGAGAATTGGTCTGTCTTTCTTGCTTTTTTCTTTACATTTCTTTGAGGAGGTTATTATTTGATTGCTCTACAGTAGAGTAGTAATTAATGGATTCCATACTTACATGTTATCTTCATATTGAAGAAGAAGGATTTTTTGTTATCCTAAATTTATCTTAGCTTCCAAGGAAAGGAGAACTGTAGCTTTTGACATAAAATTGGGAATGGTCATCATATAAATTTTTTCGGTATTTATATATAAAGTGCACATAAAATAGAAGCATAATAAAGAATTCAAGAATTTTTTTACATTAAATACAATGTCTTTCCTTTAAAATATTGCTTAAGTATTTTCTGTAATACTGTTATTACATCCTTCATGGTTCACCTGTAAGTGGTATTTACTGCTCCTCCAGCTTGCTCTGCACTTACTATTGTCCTGATACATTTTTTTCAATTAGTGTTAAAGTTTTTCACCAAAAATCACTAATTTGATACCTTTCAAATTTAGTAGTTTGAAGCTTAGACAGGTATGTAAGAAGTCCCCTAGATTTTTGGAACGCCAGAAAATTGAAAGATGCACAAAACCACAGCACAAGTATTTCTTAATGCTATTTGTCAGCTTTTGTGGCCTTAGGTTTTGACCAAATGAGACAATAACTTTTATAGCTGTTGAGGAGAAGTAGGGACAATAAACCTTCATGGGAGGGAGAGAGATTTCAACCTAAAATAGGGCACTTTCCTCATGATGAACAGCTCAGAAAAACCTGGAGTGCTGACTGATCAATTAGTAATTCAAAATAACTTTGCTCTTCACCTTTCCAATCTGTCTGTACTTGTCAAAGAAATAGTATCTTTCGTAAGAAGGAAAATCTGTCAAATCATAAGTTAAAACCGTGTGGAAATTCAGGAATTTGGTTTTTAGTCGCATGTAGTGGCCAACTAGGAGAACCACAGGTGTTATTAATTATTGGCCCAGTTGAAGGGTTGTAGCATGAAGTCTATTGGAATTTCAGTTACCTCATCACTTTTGGTCATTTCTAATCCTAGATTTGTAGAAGAAATTGTTTTATCTATATAAGCCACCAGCTAACATGGATGTAATTAATTCAGTTGGTATTTCTGGCATTGTTATGCTGAAAGTCCCATGCTGGCTGATTGCTGAAGGACAGCAGTGTTCCAGTGAATTGAATAGGGAGCTTCAAGCAGGAAATTCAAGTTGCATTTCTGACTCTGATGCTGATCAGCTTTGGCAAGGTTGTATAACTTCTGTCACCTTCCAAGAAGCAATATTATTCCATATTTTGAAAGAAGGTATACAAGTGAACGAACATTATTCTTTATGATTTAGAATCACAAATATTCTTTTACAGAGTACTGGCAATACCCTTCATACTTTGTCTCGACATACCAGGTAAGAATTCAGTATGATTATTCTGTTTTACTGTTACTAAATAGAAGAAATCAAATCCTTTTCTTGTGAATTTTCACACATTTATTTTTATTTGTAGATATGTTACAGCATGTGCTTTTGCACCACATAGTCCCTTACTTGCCACAGGTTCAATGGATAAAACTGTGAACATATGGCAGTTTGACCTTAAGCAACCCTCTGCAGGTTAGTGTGTAAAGTGTTTGTAATATATTCTTTATATTTAAAAGCACAATATTGTTGAACACCTTCTGAAGATGCAAAACTCCCGCTTCTTCTTACATGCAGTTAGGTTGTAACCTCGGGATTATGTGCATGTTATTTATCTCTTCTCTAAATTGATCATATTAATGTCCTGCAGAGGCATTCTCTTTTTGTTTTTTAAGCAAAAGACACGGTAGTAGTATTTTAATTTTATTTATCTCCTTTTCTGATATTCACCATTTCTTACTCTCTGGACAGCATTTAAGAGATTAACATTATTCCCAGAGCACTGAAAGACTTTTTGGACAAGTATCATTGGTGATGAGTTAAACAGAAAAATATGCTAATTGCAAGCATAATTGTCAACAAGAAATACACCTTACCAGTTGTTATAGGTGAAAAAACCAGGATAATTAATGTTACAAAATATATCAGCACCTAAAGTATGTGGAACAAAGGTACATAGATCTTTATTCAAAGCACAAGAGTAAGTCTTGACTTTGGTCTGCTTTTGTAAGAAGGTGTGAGACTTGGTTTCAGTGTCTGCTGACACTTTTCTGTCTTTTAGTTCAAATTTGTTCAAAATTTGACAGAAGTGTAGGCATCTGGGAGATTAAATTCCTCTAAACTTTGAAAACTGATAGGTAAAAGAAAAACACAAATTATTGTCCCCCACTGAAGTAATGTCAAATAAGCATTTCTTTTATTAGATGTTGGGGAATGTATAGTACTGAAAACACTTGAAAAACAGTGTTCATTACTGCCATTGTTCATAGAACTGAGATTTTTTTTTTAATTGTTGGGGGTTTTTTTGGAGAGGGAGGGGGGATGTTGTTTGGGTTTTTGTTTTTTAACTGTTGTCTTTTTCCTTTCCAAAGGAAATACTGTAGAAAATGAATCTAAGGTGGCTGTTGAGGACTGGTCAGAGGACGATGTTTCGGCCTGGCTTTGTGCCCAAGACTTAGCAGACTTTGTTGGGCTTTTCAAAATGAATAACATTGATGGCAAGGAACTACTGAATCTTACTAAAGAAAGTCTGACTAATGAATTAAAAATTGGTAAGAGTATAGAAATCCAAATAGTTTTTAATCCTTAGAATACATGTGAAATGTTGGAATGAAAGCAAGTTAGGAGTTCCATACATGTTTTTTTTTTTCTCTGAAATGCATTTTTATTTCATTACCAGGGCTGATAAAAACCCCTAATGTCACGTTATCCACAATACCCCTTTTTTTTTGGTGTTTGCTCATACCTAGAGACATAAAATGCACTTCGACCAACAATGCTGTGTTATTTAGATCTTGTATCATTAAGCTGTAGAAAAGAAATTTCAGCTTTTCTGTATATTTAATGATTCTGCCTTTGGTAAATAGGGTACTCTATAGTTTTTCCTATCAGTCTGCGAAAGTGCCATGTTTATACTACTATGTGGTCAACTACCTTGAATTTAGCAGTGAGATTCTCCAGTGTACTGTTACCATAATAGAAAAACACTAAGTTTTTACTTATTTTGGAGATGAAGCGTTTGACATTTAGTACGGATCAAGCAAAGCTTGCCTGGCTCAGACACTTTATAATTCAACAGGTGTCATAGTTAGTACATTGTCCTGACACTTCATTGCAAAACTGTAATTATATTTTAGAAGGAATCACAAGGAAGTGCCATATTAGTAACGATTCCACAGCAGTAGTTCTGAAATAGGAAACTTAAGGATGGTGACCTACGCTGGAACTTTCTGAATAGAGGTTCTCTATTCATTTTGATGGCTAAATTTAGCTGTAAATTAGGTGCTGCTATGTTTACCAAAGTGAGATCAAGTATAGCAAAAGGCTGAATGAGTTAAGAAACCTTTCAAAAAGTACAGGTTTATTTTTAGAAGTTAGTATTCTTCATTGTAAGAAGGCTGCTCCCTTCCTTTTTGGTTTTATATATGTGCGTGTGGTATTGGTCTGTATCAGATTATAGCATCTCTGTGTATAAGCTAGCTTTGCTGAATTCTAGAAATCAACAGAGATGCTGGGAATCTGTCAGGAATTGTCATCCACGAAAGACACTTGGCTTCATCAGTTTCTACGCATTTTCTTTAACATTGGAGTAGCCTAAAACTCTGTTGCAGCAATCGCCAGCTGGGGCTAATCAAATAATGCTGACTAGAAAGTTATGTGAGAATTGACTGCAGTGTGACCAATGATGAGAACTGATCTGCTGAATATAGCATTCTCTATGGGGAAAAAAATCGACAAAAGCATGTGTTGCCCAATAGATTTGTAATGACGCTATCAAGAACAATTTCAAACTCAAAGAAGAAAATAAAATCTGAGTTGTAAGAGCCCATTGTAAGGCAGGCTATAAGATCAAAGGATGGATGTGGCTTTAGACAGAGCACGTGTAGAATATAGGCTGATTATGGAGAGCTGTTGCTTTCTGGCTCTTTCATTTGCTATAAAAGAATGCAGTGAGGGTTGATTGTACACGTGAGCTGAAGTAGCTTCAGCATGTTCTTTCCCATTATCAGGGAAAATGCTCGTTGCTCAGTCTCTGTTCTCAAGACTTTGGTCTTTTGCCGTGCTTTTTCTTCAGTAGGCATTTTAACACCCATCGTAAGGTTATAGGATAATGAGTCAGATTTTCACAAGTATCAGGCAGCTATAAGAAGTTTTTAAAAAAGCTCTAAATGAAATCACTTGCTGTCTTAATAAACATAAGCTACTCCACAAATATGAACAAGCATGTATGCAATGTGAAGCAACGAGTTCTACTTTAATAGTTATATGAAAGAAGTTTTTAAAACAAAATAATGAAATATAATACACAAAGTCACCAAATAAAATCATTTAAATCAATCAGTTCTGAAGTAGTAAACTCTTGTGATTCTGCTTCTACATATCATTCTACAACTGTAATTGACACAGAAGAGAAATTATGGCCTGATATATTTGACTTGAAGAATTGCTCTTTATCTGCTGTGGCTCAAGCATTTACAAAATAGGAAAATACTATCTGCCTAAAACTTACATGCTTTTCAGTGTTCTTCAAATTCCAGCTTAACTAAATTTTAGGAGTCTGTCACTATACAAATACTTGAATGAGCACATCCTTTCTCTCCTGGATAACCTGTTTGCTTTTCTTTAAAAACGCAACATTTACCAGTTCCATAAGATCTTGCCAAAGAACTCTTGAGGTTTTTTTTACAGTCTTTGCAAATGGAAGTTTTTTTAGACCATTTTAGTTGATGATTCATAGGATAGGAGCTTTTTCTTCTAGTTTTTTATTAGCTGCTATTTCTTGTTCTGTTAGTCTTTGCTTCAGCTCTGATTTGCATTTAATAAAAAGGGTATCCTCACGCCTTGGAAGGCATTTAATCTAAGAGAAAGTGATCAGCAAGTGGTTCACATAACATTTCATTAGCTTGATTGTTTTTGACAGCTTTTTGAAAGAATACAAATACCGTGCAAATGGAACTAGCCTCTTTCCAACCTAATTGTCATCTAATATAAATAACACAGTGTTAGACTCTGTAAGATGTTGAGCAAAAGTAAAGTGGCCTTTATATATCTTCTGGCTGAAAAGCTTGTGTACATTCAACAAAGTTCAGGATTTCTTGTTCTTACAAACACAATAACACATTCATTGCAATTCTGTGGTGCAGCCGAGTCAGGGAAAAAAAAGAATACGCATCCTCTTAAATTCAGGATAGAGGGTAGGGGTACGTTGTTCCATGACTGCATACTCTTTTTTGTATCGGGCTAACTGAATGTGTTAATGTAAGGTGAATCTTGACTTCAGTTTGTTTGCACGTGGTGAGCAGGAGGTGAGACTAGGTCTATTTTTTGGAAAACCACACCTTCAGTTTAGGAGTTAGTGCCATACAAAGTATTTTGTACTGTAATACCACAAATTGTAAAGAAGTTGGAGGCATTCAAAATACTTTCCCTTCTTCTGCAGCACATTGAGAAGGCTTCTTTTCATGTGACTCTATCCTGATTTAGGTTAGGTATGTAAACGTAACAGTCTTAAAGATGGTTCACCCCTTTCCTCACTTACTGCAGGGTGTCCTTTAGAACATAAACCAAGGATGAATTTACATAAACTGAATTTTGAAATCTCTGATCACGCTGCCTTTGTCTTCACCTCAGCAATATACTATCAAAGATGTGGGGGTTTTTTGTCTTAACAAAAAGTTAAACAGGAAAGAACTTACTCATACATTTTTATCAAGAAACTCTGGGTGTGAGAATGAGCTTGAAGACAACATTTTGGAGCAGAATTTAAATCACTTGTGATTCATCATGCCTTACATTTATACTGAAGTAGGAGTAAACTTTGGGGGCATTGCTCAGTATAGATTAAACAAAAATGCATATGCTTTGCCTATATCAGCAAAATCTTATTTTAAGTGTTCTTTTATAACTAGATTTCAAAAGATGATGTGTCACAGATAATTCTTTAATCCCTGACTAGAGATTTAATCAGGAGGTAGTTAATTGAGATGTGCAGACTGGATGCAATAATCTTTAATCTGATTGCATGAGAGGAATTTAGGAAAAATTGCCCACGTGATGAAGATTGTATAAGATGCTCTCAACATCCAGTTATAACTGCAGAATTATTTGGTTCCTTTTTTAACCTTTCTTTCCTTTGGTTATATTCTGAATTTTCCTTGATCCCAAACTGATCCTGTAGATTTTTACAAAATTGCCATGCAAACTGTTCCTAAGAATAAGCATGAACTTCTGTTGTATTTCACTACTGTCTTTCAATTCTTACGTTGTCTTATATAAGCCTTACATAATCCTTATTAAGGAAGTGTAGGTTAATTTTTTTCTTTTGCATATATTTTTCTTACTCTGTGACATCTTTTTGTCTTTAGTGATTGAAATGACTTGCATATTAGCGTGACTGAGTTTTATCCCTTTGCATACGTTGTTTGAGGCAGTTGGTTAATTGTCAAGCTGTAAGCGCTGGTGTGTTAAGGCCAGTCTGCTTGGCAGCCTGCAGATGGAGTAGAGCTGTTGTTTGGAAGACTGTTTTGTCAACTCTTTATTTTAGTAATGAAGATGCAAAATTAACCAGAGTAGGAACTAGTATTTACCACTACAAGATGGGAAGAAAAAATTGTGACACATTACACCTGCAGGTTTTTTTGACATAAAACAATTTTTAAAAGGAGGAATGTTTTATGCTGCTGCAAGATGAAGATTACTGATATCTGCGATGCATTTCCAATTTTGACAGGGTAAAATTGTAGTGCGACATTTTATAGAACTATAAAATTACTTTTCTATTGTCAGATTTCTTTTTTTTCCTCTTCTACTCATAATTAAGTTGGAAAGAATAGCTGCTGTCTCAAACACAGACACAGTTCTTTTTTCAGATTCACAGCTATTGTATGTTCTCAGTAAATAGTAAGTACTCAAATCAGTTTGGGGATACTTAAATAAACTTGTCGTCCTTCATCGGGGAATATGTGTTAATTGGTATCTGTGATGCCTTACATGATCATGAAAAAGAGTTTATAGTACAATATGTATGTTATAGAGAGAAGAGCTTGCGTGGATCCCACAGATCTCAGATCAGAGTATTCTTCCTTTAAAAAAAAATCAACAACAAAACCCCCAAACTAAACACAACAAATGCAATTTTCACAGACTCTGATAAAATACCAGTAGTCGGGCTCCACAGTTCATTTTTATGCAGAAGAGATTGATTATATTTAATTGAACTGAAATGAATGAATTGAATCTTTTCTAAACCCAAAGATTCTTACTGCTCACAATAACAGGCCCCTCTTCCCCTAGCCATCCCCAATATTGGATTTTTATTTTTTTTAAAGGATTTTCTGCCAAGAACCAGCTCTACTACCTTTACTTGCAATAGTACATTACTATGTCTAATTTGAGAACATTTGTAATAATATATATGTATACCATCAAATTTAAAAATACCAATTGTGAACACTTAAGTGTACAGACTGGAGCTGTGCATCAGTATAAAATGTAATGATGACTAGGCTACTGAGTATTTTAATCATGTTTTTTGAAAACAATTTCTTCTGAAATGTTGTTCTCCCCCCCAACATAGAGGGTGGTGGTTAGTTTTGGTCAGAAGTTGCATACATTTTTTCAGCATGAGTTTCCTCTTGGATACAGCTGGTTTGGGTTGTTCCCTCCCAATCAAATAGACATTATTTTTATTTACATGGAGTGTGTCTCTTCACTTCTTTCTGCTTGGGCTGTCTTGTTTGATACTGAAACTATAAATGTAAGTCATTAAATGTAGCTCTTCAAATTGCATAATTGAAGCACTGCTGTCTTATGCCGCTCTGCAGATAGTGATGCCACTACAGTATTTGATTTTATTTCTAATGAATGAGAAGTATAAATTGATTCTGCACAATGTGTGGCAATAAATAGAACTTGTGTGTCTCCATCCCCTCTCCACCTTCAGTGGTTGGAATCAAGCATCAAACTAGATTGTGAGCAATCTTTTTGGCAGAGCTTTTCATAAAATGTATCTCTCAAAATATAATGAAACTTGATGAGAATTTATAAAAGATTGAGGTTCCCATACATTAATCTCAATATAATTTGGAAGTGTAAAGCCCTACCATGAGTCCACATTTGTTAGCAGCATTTGTGGTATTTCATAATGTCTGTGCCAAACATTTTAAAAAACCCAAAAAACAACAGAGTTGAGCAACTCATCAAGGTACTCATACTTCACGCTCTAGAGATGATAGAAGAGAACTTAATGAACATTTTTGTCAATCGTTTTAGCAGTAGCAGTCTTGCACAGTGGTGAGGTCCGGTGAGAACAATCTCGTGCCTTGTTACTGAGACCTTGAAAAAAAAAAAGGTAGAGGTCTGTGTGTATCATGAGGGCTTCAGTATGTCTTACCTAGGTTTTTTTTTTTAAGGTTTATCGTAATCTTGCCAAGGGGATTGTCCGTAGCGAGGTGGGTGGGGTTTGTTGTTTTTTTTTTATTTTTTAAAGAATGGACAGTTGGGAGTAAAAGAAGTTTTATGGTTTTATTGATACTGTATGAATGAGAGTGCACCTCGTTATAAGTGTGATGCAGTTTTCTGGGGAGAGGAACACCAGTGTACAATTTAATTGTAAAAATAAGTTATTTCCATTTTTATATAGGTTGCTTACACAAGCGTTGCCTGAACATTGAGGTGCTGCAAGTCTAAGAGTTATCTTTAATGAAATAGGAGCATACAACAATGAAGTGTAATTTGTAAGCACAGTGTACAGACACACCTTATTGTTGTTTTGATGCATTATTTGAAGACAGCAAAGTTAATGTTGATGTGTCTTTATCGGCTTGAGTGCCTCTGCAGTCTGAAAGAAATCAAGGCAGCATGGAACAACCATAATTGTGTTTGTTGTTTTATTTTTAGATTAGGAAGACAATCTTTTAAAAAACACAGGCTCAGGCATTCTTGAGTCATCTGTTTGCAAGCCCTGGGACAGCAATACTATACAACAGGGGTAGTGTATTGTAATACTGAATGGCATGCCTTCCCTCGAACAAATCAACTGCACCGCCCAACCTGGTGTCATCTGCAAACTTGCTGAGGTTGTACTCAGTGCCACTCACTGCCTGTGTCACTGATGAAGACGACAAATAGTATTGGTCGAAGTACGGACCCTTGAGGGACGCCACTCGTTACTGGTTGCCATTTGGTCATGGAGCCATTGACTGCAACACTGTTGTTGTCCATTGATGCAGTTGCTCCATCGTAGAAGGCCACTACCTTAATATACCGATTTAGTAGACTGTTGTGTGGTACCGTGTTAAAGGCCTTACAGAAGTCCAGGTAGCTGACATCAGTAGTTTTTCCCTTCAGGCATGATTTGCCCTTTGTGAAACCACGCTGGCTGTCTCTAATCACCTCCCTGTCATCTATATGCCTTGACGTAGCTTACAAGAGGGTCTGTTGCATGTTCTTAGGAGGCACAGACTCATCAACATTTCCCAGGGTCTGCCTTTTACCATTTTTAAAAACGGGTCACTCAAACTGTAACTCCAGCTAAGGAATGGGACCCTTAAAAGTTGTATGTGGTTCTGTTTTTGACACTGCATGCTTCTGTTTTGTAAATTGGCACTCGCCACTTACAGTGAAGGTGAATGCATGTATTAATGGTGGCCTGAATTCAAGAAGTAGGAACATGGTTCTGGATCTCCAGTAGTGGAGTCACAAGGTCTGGATGCAAAGTCTCAGAACCTCTGTGTGAGTCTAATTGTATCTGTGTTATGCAGACATGGCTCAAAGGTAGATTAAATATATGCTAGTAAGCTTATACTTGAGAGAATGGTTCTACTTTGTGTGTTTTTTCTCCAGTTGTGCCACAATTGTCATATATAACCCTATGCCAAACTGCAGAGCAAACCTAGTCCAAGGGTGGTGAGTCCTTACTCTACGTGCTTTGGTTGGTAGGTAGTCTTCTGTTTGGAGGTGATGATGGCACTTGTGCACTCTTACACCTTCATACTGTTATTTAGATACTCCAGTTTCAAGGGAGACACACTGCTACCTTCCACTCTGTCTCAGTTATATCTACAGTTAGCTTTCCACATGCAGCAGTGCCTATTAATTCTATTGTGCATCAACTAAAATGCTGTTCTGGCAGGTAGCCATGTCTTTGCAGCAATGTTGCACTTGCATTTGTTTTACTGTTTGTTTTCATTACTCCACAAAGTTACTGTTAGCCAGGAGCAGCATGCTGTAGTTGAGCTGTTTGTAGTGACGGCCAGGGGCCTCTGCAGATTTTTTTTCTGTATCAGGTGGGGGTGGCGAAATGGAGCTGTCTCTCCTGTAAAACAACTGTTAGTTAATGCAAGACCTAACCTCTTTGCCTTACATATCTGTGTTGTCCTCTTCATGTACGAATACTTCTCAGAGTCTCTAGGCCTACGCAGTAAAGTCCTCCAGAAAATTGAAGAACTGAGGATGAACATGATCTCTGCTTCTGGTACTATCCCTGATGAGTTCTTATGCCCTATAACAAGGGAGCTTATGAAGGATCCTGTCATTGCAGCAGGTATGTCTTCAAATGACTTTGACTAAAATGAATGATAGGTGCGGTAACACAAAAAAATAGGTGTGGTAACACAAAAATGGGCATATTTTACCAGCTGTAGAAAGATAAACTTTTCTAACTAGCTCTTGCAACAAAATACAACTTTGGTAAACATTTCGTTTGCCAAATTACATCTCTGATACAGAGACAAATACTGTATCAAGCAATTCGCATAGTGTCAGCTCTGCTGATGAGGCTGTATAGATTATTATTTTTTTTTTAATGTTCCTTCTTTTATGTGCCATTGCAAATACAATTACAAGCCTAATTACAGAGTTATCTCGGTAAATGCAAAATGGAATTGTGCAAATGGGCGGGGACGGACCCAAATCCAGGCTCATTAGTACTCTTAGTACACTATGTATATGGCACTTCCTTAAAAGTTTGTACAGAATGAGATTCAGTTACATTCAACAAGACATTGGAACTGAGGTATGCAAAGAGCAGAAGATGTTATATAATAATTAAAAGAATTTATGAAGAAGTAGTGCTTTATAGTTCTAATCAGGGGGGGGGAGTATATGATCATCAACAGACCAGTGTAATTTTTTTGATGCTCTGTAAATTGTGACCAACTTCATAGAATTTTGAGATATCAGGCCAGAGTTCTGAGAATTAAAATGTTCAAAATATGAAACGCTTTGCTAGCTGCTGGAGTGGTAAGCACTGCCACTTAGGGTTTGAGCTTCTAAACAATAGCAGTAGGAGGACAGCCTTGCATATCCTTTTTTTTTATATAATTTTGAAATAAAGATACATATTTTTAGAGCAGAATAATTTTGTTGAAAAGCTGAAAATTACTGCTAGCCACTGTTCATGTGTATATTACAAAATCAAATAGGCAATTTTTAAGAGAAACTGTTGACTTTTTAAAATAAAATGTTCAGTGTGTGTGTTCAATGATAGTATTTGCTACCTAATAAATATATACTATTTACTATCTAATAAATATTCCTGTGTGCCATTCAGTATTTGTGTATTACACTGCTGTCCTAAAACAGGGGATTCCTCTGCTTTTCAGAACTCAGGTTGGGCATATCTGGCAGTTCCTCACACTGCTTTATTTTTATAGAAGTTTGGTGAATGAGAACAGAAATGTTAGCGATTGCAGCAGGAGAAAAGTTGGTTTGTGGCAAGGCAGGTGAAGGAAAGTACAGTTTTGTGTTTGAAAACTTCTGTATTCACTAGCTATCTACTTCAGTGCCCAGCACTATAGAACTGAAGTTCCTCTAGTATGAACACAGCTGACTAAAGATGTGGGCAATTTTGCAGATTGAAATTGGAGGCATTTAGATAGTTCTGAGATTGGAAAGTAATTAATTGAAGTGAGGGGATACTTTGTTTAGTTCAGTAAGGTAAGTAAGAGTTAAGTAAAACCTTTATGCCTCTGCTATGTAGAAATTAAGGAAAAATGAAAAGGTAGAATGCCAAACCGCGTATTTATTTTACTCCCGTGACCAGCATAAATATTATTTTTTCCATGTTAAAAGTGGCTCATACTCAATAAAGGGGAAGGAAATAGAGTGTAGCCCTGTGTTGGGGGTGGGGAGGACAGAGGTTTGTATTTCATCAGA